GAGTGGTTAGAGAGGTTGAAGTGTTCTCCCACTGGTTTTTGAATGCAAATTTGTGTCCATTTATTCTTTTGCGTAGAGATTGTCCGGTTTGGCCAATTCAGTTATGACTCAAAATATTTTATATGCCTTTGTTGGTGGATCACCATTGAATGGTTTCATTTTGGGGGCAGAGGGAGGATAGGAAGGAGGAGAGGAGGAAGGGTTGGAAAAAAGCAGGAGAACCTGTTGCTCAGGCTCCGTTACTCCTGTCTGGAGCACATAAGAGTACTTAACAAATAGCCACTAGAAGGATCACAATGAAGGGAAAGAAGATTTAGAGAGCCCCCCAAACCAGTTCCAATAAGGGATAAGACCCTCCCCTTAATTTTCAGCATAGCTCTGGGAATAAGATTAGCTGGTTAATTCATGTTCCTTAGAAGCATAGGGTATGCCTACATTGCAGTTAAACACCTGCAACTGGCCCGTGTCAGCTGACTCAGGCTTGTTGGGCTTCGGCTTGTGGTGTTCACATTCAGGCTCAGGCAGGAGCCAGAGCTCTGGGACCTTCCCATGAGGCAGAACTCGGGCTCCAGCCTGAGCCTAGAAGTCTACACCGCAATTGAACAGCCCCATAACACGAGCCCAAGTCAACTAACATAGGCCAGCCACATTGCAATGTAGACATACCCATAGAAACGTAGGGCTGGAAGGGTCCTAGAGAAGCCATTAAGTCCAGCCCCCTGCACTGAGGAGTGACGAAGTAAACACAGACCAACCATGACAGATGTTGTCTAATGGGTTCCTAAAAACCTCCAATGAGGGGAACTCCACAACCTCTCTTGGTAACCTGTTCCAGTGTTTCACTATCCTTATAGTTTGAAAGTTTTTCCTAATATGTAACCTAAAATCTCCCTTACTAAAGATTAAGTCAATTACTTCTTGTCATATCTTCAGTGGGCATGGAAAACAATTGATCAGCATCCTCTCTCTAACAGCCCTTAACATATTTGAAGACTCATCAGGTTCCCGTTCAGTCTTCTTTTCTCAAGACTAAATGTGCCCAGTTTTTTTAACTTTTCCTCATAGATGAGATTTTCTAAACCATTTTATCATTTTTGTTGCTCTACTATGGACTCTCTCCTAAAGAGGGGTGTCCAGAATTGGACACAGTACTCCAGTTGAGGTCTCATCAGCGCCAAGTAAAGCGGGACAATTGTCTCTTGTGTCTTACATATGACACTCTACCTAAACTTCATGAACAACTGCTCAGATTTACTTCCTTTTAAAAAAAATATTTAAGCAATAGTGTAGTAAATTAAAAACATTTAGAATTGAGAGAGTTCTCACACAAGGATGTTGGTATTTAAGACAGTTGAGATTTGAGGCCTAACCTGCTTATATTATTTCATATTTGTTGATGGTGGTTTGTTTTAACTGAGCACCCATTTAAATGTTACATTTCTTTTTCTCCTTTAAATATACAATCTACAACACTGCACATGGCATACCTACTCCTCCCTCCCCCACCAATATGTTTAACCAAAGACCAGTAAAAACACTTTGCAATAGTACTGAATTTCATTAACAGAATTATTAATAACAATAAATATAAAGTATAAAATATAAAGTATAAGGTGACTAAGTTTAATTGCATACTAAACTAAACAGATGAGAAAGATAAAGATGGTATAAATTTAAATATAACCCTTGAAATAGTTCCTAAAATACCATTTCTGTACTTGATATCTGATGAACTTTTCCACATGTCCCAGTTCTAAATGTATGGGCCTCAGACAGAGATCTTTATTAAAAACAGGGGAAATTATGACTGATATGCTAGGTCTCCCCCATTCCCTACCACTATGGAGGTTAGAATTAGCTTTCGGGATGCTTAGCAGAATCATTAGGTGTTCAATACCAAAGATGTGCTTGGTGCTACATAAGGCACAAATACAGACCCTCCCCAGGGACCTTATAATCTAGAAGAACTTGTCTCTTCAATTAGGTTTACTTATTTATATTAAAAATAATAATAATAAAACCATAGCTGTTATAGATTGGGCTGCATGCAATCTTCTTCCGTGCCCCAGGCGGTGTAAGTTTTAACACTGTCTCTACCGATGCAAGAGCCACTCCAACGTGCTGCTGAACTTTTTTCCTTAATTGTGAAATTTACCTCTGGTCCAATAAAGCTTGTGCAATAAACTATTCTGAGTTAATGGTGAATGGGAATAATGGAAAATTAATTTTGACAGTAAATTGCTCTTATGTTAATAACATTTGGACTAAAAATTTCTACCTGGATTCTAAAGAGAAAAAAACTGCTCTGCAGTTTAAAAAAAGTCAAAGATAATTCAGGATATTTTTGTTCATTATGCAAATAGAGACTGTTACTTCAATCTATGTAGCGGTGCATGCTGTGCGTTGACATCAGATTCTAGCACTTAAGAATAGACTAAGTACCTTAGTTAGAATTTGTAATTTATTAACAGATAAGAATCATGCCTCCCAATCTTCATATCCTTTAAATCTCCATTTTAAGATGATAACTAACATATCTCAGAACTAGAGGAAGAGCCACCAGCAGATATTTTCATTTAACATTCGGTAATAGCCCTAGCCAGTTATGTACCAGACAGACAGACAGATTTCTTATATATGTTGAAGATAAAACTGTAAGAGTCCAAGTTTAATCTTTTTTTGGAGACTGATTTTTTGGCCACATTAAAAGTCACATTATTAAGAAGAAATCACTTGTCTATTACAACTTTTAAGTCAGCTTGTGTTTTAATTAAGGACCAGTTCCTAAACCAAAGAAAAACACGTAATATTTTTGCAATATTTCTCTTTTGAACTTCAAACAGCATACACACATGAAGCATTAACATCAGTAAGATGCATTTTAAACACAGAATACAGATTCTATTCCTTCAGTTTAAGAATTGAAAGTATTTCTTTCCACTCCACCTTGCCCCAGAAACCCTGACCTCTTGACAGATGTGTTGGAGACTCCATTCCAGTTTTCCTTGTTTCTGGCAATGAGCTAATGGATTTTCAAGTGTCTACTTGTCCCCATAAATGCTTTATATTAGAAAACATACATTTCTTTAAATGAAAAATTAATTAAAAAGTATTTAAAATTATCAGAAACAAAAGGCTTGAAGCGAAAAGTTGGATACAATGCTGGTAGTCCAAAGAATCAATGTATCCTGGTTAACAATACTGTCAGGAGTTAGTGTTAAAAACAAAAACACACTGTGGAAGCAGAGAAAGAACTGTCATGCATTGCATCCCCTTCCTGTCAGTTCTTTCTCTGCTTCCACAACACTCATGGAACTAACATGAGCAATGCAGCTTAGCATGCATCTCTTTCACTTACATCTATCACTTACATCTCTTTTTATCCCATTCCACAACACTCATTGTTTGCTTAGAATGTAACCTCTTCAGGGCAGGGACCTTGGCTTACCTGTCACTGCCTTGCATACCACTGTGCCATAATATATATATTCCAGACAAAAAAGTAAATTAGAATAATATTAAGGTTGAAAGTCCAGCACTCAGAAGTTCAGAAACCAGAATTTTTTAATGGGAAAATAACTTATTTTTCCCTCGCCTCGTTCTCAGAAACAGCTGAATCCTTTTGGCTGAAAAACTTTCCAGGTTTCAAAGCAAAATCCAGCCTGAAGTAAACACCTGGCATGGAAAATTTCCGTCCAAATGATTAAAGATCAGCAAAGTTATAAGCAACTGAAAACAACATCTTATAATGGGAATTGTCAGCCAAACTTTATCATAGGCAGTGCAACCAGCCTAGTCTATAATAACCACTAAGAAACAGCTGTAATAAAAGAAGTGAAGGTTGCAAAGTCAAGCACTGAAAAAAATGAAGGAATGCCATTATAAAAGTTGTCCAGGAACCCTTACATTTGCTCCCTTGTGTGTATGCATCATGATGACATACAATTTTTTTCATAAGTCTCTTGCAACATTCCATGCACAGGATGAATAATGCTCAGTAAATGAGGCTGTTGTTCAATGTTTCCTTTTATCCTCAACACTCTGCACTGAATAGAGGATTAATTTCTACACAGGATAGTCTATGACATTCATTATCCTAGTATATGAGTACACCAGAAACATTATTAG